TAAATAATCTGGACCCTACATTGCCAGGCTACAATGTTCAATAGGTGAGGGTAATAAATGAATTTTCAACCTATTCTGAGTTTAGGTTTAGGAGCTTGCATTTTGAAGGTACCTCAATCTAAAAACCTAGCTTACTATAAAGCACTAATACCATCTCTTCTAGAAAAGTTAAATCCTAGTGGAGAAAATAATCAAATATGTAATTAAGCAATTTTTTCCACAAAGAGAACTAAGAGAAATAAGTAGCACATATGCAGACACACTCAGAAGTACTGTATATATCTTTAACTCAGGGTGCCACCGCCTCACAAGGACCCGAATTCGATCCCTGGTACCAAAAAATAAAAAGAAGATACAACTTAACCAAGTCCTAAAGGTCAGATAGAAATTAGCCAAGTAAAGACAAAGAATAAAAGAAAACACTGACGAAGACAAAGCATTTTACACGAGAGGAAACCAAAATTCAGTAAAAGTGCATTAAATAATTGAGAAGAAAAAGACAAGTGTCAGATCATGGTGTGCTCACTTCAGCTGCACATATACTAAAATTGGAATGATACAGAGAAGATTAGTAAGGCCTCTGCCCAAGGATGACACACAAATTCCTGAAGCATTCCACATTGGGAAAAAAAAGTCAGATCATGAATAATCTCACATACATGCCATGCTACAGTTTAAACTTTATCCCTAAAACACTGAAGATCTTTCAACTGGAAAGGTCAATGAAATTTATATTTGTACTATACATGTCAATTATAATTATGGTGCCTGCCACACTCACAACCCCACTTTATGGCAAACTAGTCGGCATACTGCTCTATACTTTTCACCACTATAATCCTGCCCCACACCCATATGTATGAATAAACACACTGGCGACAACAAATAGCCAAGAGTAGTCCCCTATCTCAAACACACAGGTTTGCTAGCAACCAATGAAAAAAGACCTAAGTCAAAGAAACTGTTTCGTGGAACTTCAAGACAGAAAATTCTAAGGAGAAAGAAATCAGCTCAGGAGGTAAAGTTAAAAACATAGCAGTCAGCAGACAAAATGATGGCAATGTAATGACAGAGAAATTTAAGGAGCAGAAGTTAGGAATAAATGGAAGCTATAGAGATGGGAAAAAATTGGAGTAGAAAGAATAAGCCAAAGAGAAAGAGTACAAAGAGAAGTTAACAACAGAACACAAGTGAAACCAAGGACTGGGAGTATAACTCAGTAGCAAAGCAATCCCCAGACTGCAAAAAAATAAAGAGAAATCTGTCCTCTCTGCTTCCAGCTTTATTTACTAAGTTACTGTTCTTGAAACCCAGTTGTTTTGCTTTTCCTAGGCTCTCCTGTACATGTAGATGTTTCCTTTCAAATAGCACTCCATTACTTAAGATAACTTGAGTCTCTTCCTTGCCACTGAAAGGGCTTAAATAAAAGAGCATTTTAGAACACTTAGTTTGGCAGCAGGGCAAAGAGAGGGCATAAAAACACAAGAGGCAGAAAACAGACAAAAAGGCCATGTAGAAAGTATTACAGAAGCCCAACAGCCAGGTGCAGTGGTATGTACCTGTAAGCCCAGCACTCTGGGAAGGTGAGGTATGAAAAAAGCCAAATTCCAGCCCAACATGAGTAACTAGGCAAGATCTGTCTCAAAATGAAAAAAAAAAAAAATTAACCAGATACGGCAGCACATGTTTACAATCCTAGCACTAAGGAGGCTGAGGCAGGAGGATCACTGCAAGTTTGAGGCCAGCCTGGGCTAGATACTGTCTCAAAAAAATTTTTTTTTAATTTTTTTCAATGGGGCTGGGGATGTAACACAGTGAGAAGGCAGTGGATTTAACCCCACTACCAAAACCATCAAAAAAAAAAAAAAAAAACCCCAACAGGTATTTTTAGTTAACATAAATTAAAGATAAGAAAAAAAATCTGAAATACTACAAGAAAGAGCGTGCAAGATTCAGTGACAAACTGGATGTTAGTAGTGATGTTCAGATGAGAGTGGAAGATGATTCACAGGTTCCTGAAGGCTTGGAGGACAGAGCATTGTCATTAACCAAGAAAGAAAATCAGGAAGAAGCAAAAATTTTGTTTAGCACAAGCATGTGCACACACACACACACAATTTCGGGTAAAAGAGAAGTTATGTTTTGTATATTTTTGGATTGCAGCACTAGTGAAATGTGAAACCAAATGGAAATGTCCATTAGGCAGTGAATAGCAGAGGTGCAAAGAAGAAACAAGAGTTTTAAAAAACAGTTCTAGGGCCGGGGATTTAGCTCAGTAGTTCAGTTCTGCTGCCTGCCTCGCAAGCACAGGGACCCGAGTTCGATCCCCAGTACAAAAAAAAAAAACAGTTCTAAACTTACAAATCAATATGATTCTGTGCTTCAAAAATGTATAAAAAGTCTATGACTAATATTTATCTCAAACTAAGTTCACAGACCTAAAAATCACTCAAACTGAAAACTTCAGTATTTTTGGCAAGCCATATTTCAAACTTCATATACTCTGCAAATATTAAGGGTTGAACAAACATCTACATAGTACAATTCAAATGATTAGGAATGATGGAATTTATATAACTAATTTCTACTGAAGCTGTACTTCTTTTAAAAACCTAAGGTGAAGCAGGAATTTAGCTCAGTGGTGTCATGGCCTGCCTCACACACACAAGTACCCAAGTTCCATTCCTGGTACCAAAAAAAAAAAAAACAAAAAACACAAAAACCCTACATTGAGTCAGGCATGATGGTACACACTTACAATCATCCCACCTGGGAGTGGCTGAGGCATAAAGATTACTTAAGCCCAAGAGTTTAAAAGCAGCAAGGGCAAGACAACATGACTTCCCTCCAATCTCCAAAAAAACAGTTTACTCATTTTCATTATGAAGTGGACACCACTAAATCAACTAAGGGAAAAAATGATACATATATATTAAACAGTGGATTTTTTGGTGGTATTGAGGACTGAACCCAGGGCTTTCACCCTGAGGTACATCCTCAGACATTCTGTTGTTTTGTTATGTTTTTGGTACCAGGGAACGAACTCAGGACCACCTTGCACTTGCAAGGCAGGCAGCGGCACCACTGAGCTAGAGCTAAATCCCCAATCTCCCCTTAACTGGCTTTTTTTCTTGAGACAAGGTCTAAGTCACTAAATAGCCCAGGTTGGACTCAAACTTGTGATCCTCCCGCCTCAGCCTCTGACAGTGCTGGTGTTACAGGCCCTCACTCCTAATATAATAAAAATAAACCAAGAGATGGAGAGATGGGGGAGGGGAGGAAAAGGGAATGAAAAAAGAATTGATGTTATATACATGCACAAATTGCCCATGATAAACATAACCATTATGTACTGCAAACATGTACCAATAAAATTAAAATTGTTAAAATTTACTCTTCTTTCATAAGGCTCCCCACCTCAGTGAAAGGCAGCTGAAACCTAGATCTTATCCTCTATGTACGTTCTTCTCCACCTAAAATCTAATCAAATCACCAACTCCTGCAAACTATGAAAATCCAAGTGCAGATCCATTATTACTACGTTAGATTAACCCTCCTGATGCTCCTGTCTTTAGCCATATCTACTCTTAAATCCACCCTCCTCACATCATCCAGGGACTTAAAATGCAAATCTGATCATTTCAGTAACCTGTTTTAAATCTTTCAATAATTTACCTGATAAACGCTGCAATTACTCTAAAACTAGCCCCACCAGTACTAGCTCAGAAGTTTAATGAGAAATTTAATTATCTTTTTGTAGGTTAATATAAAACAATCATGGATATTTTTCAAATCATGAAAAGTACTTAAACACATCTCATGCTTTTAAAAGAGAAGCATGCAACACTGTTAAAGGAAAAAGATTGAAAAAAACCTCATCAGTCAGAATGAAACACTAGCCTGCCTGTAAATAAGGCAGGCACTTTCATATGTATTGTTATCGAATAATCCCTAGAAACTAGTGATAATTTTTTTTAAAAAGCTATAAACAGAGTACAGTATGTAACCACTTGAACATGGTGTGCATGTTTTAAATATAGGCTTGTAGATGCTGGAACTATCACAAGAACACACAAGTATTGAAAATGCTGGCAATAGAGAGAAGACTAAAAGGGGACTGGAGAATAAAGGAAAAAACTTTTTACTACATTCTTAGCCTTTTGATTTTTATACTATGTCTAGTCACTATCTTTACTATCTATAGGTAATTTCAACGTGCCTTCCTCCCTCTGTTCCACAGGAAAAAAGAGTTAAAATTTTTAAGTGATTTCTTTCATCCCCGTATCAACGTCAAAAATATGCACTGATCATTTGATGTAACATTCCCTTTTTTTTTTTTTTGGTACGGGGATCAAACTCGTACATTTCCTTCTTGACAGCTCAGGAATACAACTTCACCTCTTTATTCAATATTTCACTACCACAGAGAAGGCAGTTGGTAACGTGAAGCAGCACTGCTTGACTTTTGTACTTGCTCCTTGAAGACAGCAGCACCAGGTGGCAGAAAATTATGAAAATTAAGCCGGGCATGGTGGCGCACGCCTGTAATCCCAGCACTCGGGAGGCTGAGGCAGGAGGATCTCTGTGAGTTCGAGACCAGCCTGGACTACATAGTGAGTACCGACTACGTCAGTCTCAACTACATAAGTGAAACCTTATCTCAAAGAACAAAACAAAAAAATATACATTAAAATCTTCGGGGATTAAGGACAGTTACAAACCTTAAATTGGAAACTAGCAAATCCAAAACAGGTCAATGTTTTTCAAAAGTAGTGCAAAATATCTGGAGAAATTTACAAGGAGTGCAGCGAAGAATGGAGGCAGTTATTGCACATTCATGAGTGTCCAGTGATTTCATCTTACAGAAGCCCCTAAAGGGTCAGACTTGGGCTACTTCGTTCTACAGGAGAAGAGCAGGCTGTGTAACCTCACAATGGCTCACACTCAGCCTGCCCTATGCTTCGCTCTTCCCTCTCTCCCTCCTTTTTTAGCCATCAGCTCAACCCCTCCAAGCTTTTGCCTCAGTAGGTCCCCTGACGCCCGACTAGGGGGAATATACTAGACTCAGCAAACAGTCCCTCAGGATTACATGACAAAGCCCTTTCGACCAAAGACAGCATCCCGACTGGAGAGAAAGATAAGATTTGCTGAAGAAGGGGTCTGCGAAGGACCTACAGTAGTGTCTGAGGGAAGAGGCCCGGCCGAGTCTCCGATGGTGTCTCGGGAGCATCACGACACGGGCTATTAGAAAGCCGCGGCGGGCAGGGTAAGAGCTAGCGGCCCCGCAGCGAGAGGATGGGGATGGGGGGCGGGGAGCGGGTCTTACTTAGAGGACCGGCCCCGGAGAG